ATGTACAACCGCCTCCCGACACAGTGGACACATTTCGCCGCACTGCACTGGCTGCAGAGGGGGTGATGCTAAAATCAGTCTTTATAGTGCAAAGAAAAACAGCAGGTGACAGCTCATCGACCAGGTCTCTGGACAGCGGAGCAGCGAGGCAGAGGGCCACCATATGATTGCACGCGTTACTGGGACAAGGCTGAGTAAACCGAGAGACTAAAGAGCCGAGTGCAGCACAGCGACACCAACATAGTCAGCGGTGAAAGGCCCGAGTGGTCTTGTGAGAAGCCGAGGGCGGTGGATCTCTGTCCTGCGCGCTGCATATTCTCTTCAATGGTCATCCAGAGTGTAGGAGGTTGGAGGGGCATGGCTGGTGATGCAGGCAGTCGCCGCAAGGAGGCCACAGCAGGTGATACTGTAGAAGAGGCATCACGGTGTTTCTCTGTCTCTGTGAGGTCTGTTGAGTTAAAGACAAAAGCCCTATAGCCTGACAGACACTGTGCGGGTCTGAGGGGAGAGTAGGCCGCAGCTTCTCGACCGTGGACGGAGCCTGAAGCACAGAAGTCGCCGCCAGGCGCTCAGGAGATGTTTGTCTTCTGAAGGGACCAAGCTCTGCTGAACTGGGATCTCGTTCCTTCACTATTATTGCTTTCCTGTCTTCACAGGCACTTCAGAGGGTTGGGCTTTGGCTGAAGTTAAGCGTCAGATGAGGCTGAGGGCAGGTGACAGAGTGATGGTGCGGGTGTGTGACAGATGGACTTTAAAGTGTGTGCTTGGGAGCTCTGGTGAAAGCCATCGCTCAGCAGGATACCAGCAGACACACCAGGGCTGCAGTGGCTGGTGCACGGCGAGTCAGAGAGCAGGTTCCTTGTCCCGTGGCAGGGTCAGAGCTGGAGCGCTCTGAGCCCGGCCCACTGGTTCACTTCAGGGGGATCAAGGGGTAACACTGGGGGTGTGAGGACGGGGATGCTCCAGCCTCCCTCCCTGCTTACGTCTGTGTCTGCACTTCCTTCGCGCTCCATCTCTAGTCTGTGTGGTTGTTGATGTGCTTCCTGTCTGAGGAAGACGATGCCTCTGCTCCGTCCGTCACCTTTCGCCCTCCGCTCCTGGTGAGGACCTTGTAGCATCCTCGGGCGATCTTATACATCCAGACAGTGTTCAGGATGTCCAGGGCGATGCAGGATGTGATCCAGGCCACCTGAGCGCCCAAGCCCAGCCGCTCAAAGTCCGGAGTGCCAAAGGTGGCGAATACACTTGCCCAGTAGGACGGCATGACGGCGATGCGCACCAGGAAGAACACCACTGCCATGACAACGCCGTTTATCACCACCATCCGGTGTGAGCGGGGGTACTTTAGCGCATCAAAGAACCACCTGCAGGGAGTAGGAGGTTAAGAAGTGTCTGCCACACGGTAAGAAAAGCAGGACATGAATCCTGGGGTGTGTTGACAACTAACCTTTGGTTCACAAACGGCGTGGACAACTCTGAGATGAGACGAAAGTTGGCAAAGTAGGGAAGCACGCCACGGGTCTGCAATGACACACAAGCAGGCAACATGACACAAACACCATGGGAGCGATCCACTCTCCTCAACTCAGAAACGAGACTCACCAGCACATATCCATATGCATAGAGCGCCGCCAAGTGGTGACAGACAAAGAAGCTGTCCCCCATAGTGCTCCAGTTACAGGCCAGCAGCACCAGATCTGGAGAACAGAGAGCAGAGGGTGTGACTCAGAGAACAGGTCAGTAGTAGCTCTAACACAGAGGAAAGGCCCAGAGCATCAGAGAACCCTGCACTGTGCTCAGAGCCTTCAGTTTATGCTACATGAGCAGGACTTACTCTCATCGTTTCCTATAACTGACTGTTATTCACATATAAAACTGTGGATTGTCTGACTCTGTCACAGCTGACGCTACGTTTAATGCGAGGTGGGCAGTGTGGCACTGGAGCCTGCAGTGAAGCAGCAGCTGCAGCAGACAGACTGCGACAACAGAGGGCGTAAATCTGTCATAAAGCAAACTGACAAATAAACAGCGGTGGATAGATGAACTGTTCATTCTGAATGTGTTTATTCATGCAGATTATAGACACTTAGCTGGTGTTTGTATTTCTAGCTCTGACCATGAGAGTCCTTAGTGTGTTCACATCTGCATGACAGAGAGAAGCAAACCAGAGACAGCTCACCGTAGAGGAGGTAGCCACAGGTTATGGCCACGTTGAGTTTGACCAGGCTGGGGTCACCCCTGTGGAGCAGCACAGAGCACAGTGTCAAGCCACTTCACACAGAGAGCTCGAAGGTCAATAGGCCACAAGGGGGAGCTGATTAATGTTCTGGAAAACTGCAGAGCGCTTGGGTCACTTTCTCCTCTGATCAATCATCTACTTCTGGAACCAGAACATGATGCAGTTCTGAGAACTAGTTAATGCACTGGTGTTCACACACCCATCATGAATCACACAGGTCATTCAAGGTCGACTGTCTGCTGGTGAGGAGCTCGCTGTGATCGGGGGACTGGACTGATTAGACAGAACAGTATGCTGACATTTGTGGTGAAACCATAACTTGACAGAGCAGGAGAACTCCATCAGCGAGAGGTGCTGCTGCTGCAGACAGGGCGGGGGCGACATTCAGCTGCACCAGCCAGGACTCAGAGAAGCAGAGGTTACAGTGGAGAGAGAGGGCGTTTCAGACTGAAAAACGTCATCAACCAAACTGTCGCCACAGACAGTCTGATGCTGTACTAATGCACCGGTACACCTTCTCCCTGTGTGCACCAGCAGCTTCAGCCCACAGAGTGGTTCTGTGACCGCTAGGCATCTTTGTAAATGACATCTGTTCACAACGTCAGTGCCTCTGCCTGGAAAGACATCTGATCCTGAGATCATCTAGCAAATGAGCAGCTGAGCGCTGCTGTAACACAACCCCACCACAGACTCACTGTACTAATGCACACCCACTGTACGACAGCTCACCTCGCCCAGCAGGTGACCTGGGCTCAGGTCTGATCCTCTGAGCGAAGACAAACCTGCAGGAGAAACCTTGGTGTCTTCACTCAGTACACATGCACAAAACAGCTATTTTAGGTACAAAGTAACGTTTAAAACGGCCATTTTAGGTACAAAGTAACATTTTAGGTACAAAGTAACGTTTAAAACGGCTATTTTAGGTACAAAGTAACGTTTAAAACGGCTATTTTAGGTACAAAGCAACGTTTAAAACGGCCAGCTGTAAGTAAGAAGTAAATGATTCATCATTTACAGACACTGAAATGCACCATCATGAAACGGGCGAAGGCTTTGACCCTGAAGAAAACTTTTTTAAGAACTCTGAAAATAACTGCAAATATTACACAGATGAGCAGTTTAACAGCAATGTCAAGACTGAAAACAAATTATCATTGATTCACTTTAATAGCAGAAGTTTATACGCAAACTTTCAGAGTATAAAACATTATCTCTGTAGTCTGACACATGCTTTTAATATAATTGCTATTACTGAAACCTGGATTAATAATGTAAGGGGAGTGGATTTTGACCTTGACGGGTACGATCTAGTAACCACAAACAGAGCAGGAAATGGGAGGTGGTGTGGCCTTGTACATAGATAATAAATAACTTTTGTTATAATAGAGTGGAGAAAATGTCAAGGGTAGTAGATAATTTGCTGGAATGTGTGACTGTAGAAATTTCCATGGAAAAAAGAAAAAGGTTGTAGTAAGCTGTATTTATAGAGCACCTGGAGCCAGCATAGAAAAATTTAATGACTGGATGGAAGAAAATTACTTGACAATAAGTCATAAATTAATGTTCATATGTGGTGACTTCAATATAGATTTGTTAAATGCCATGTTAGAAATGAAAGGCAAACAGCAAAACTGTTCTTTGTGAATGTTGGTCCTGGTTTAGCAAGAAGCATTTGTACAGATGATACAAAACAGGAGGGTGATTAATGAACAAACAGTACGGAGGCTTAAGGAGGAATTAATGGGGCAGGAATGGGAAGCAGTTTACAGAGAGGAAAATTTAGATAAAGCATATGAACAATTTGTACATATATTTCAGGACCTGCCCACGTAAGCAGTATAAAAACAAGAGGAATTACAGTGGGAAACCGTGGATTAGTTAGGGATTAGAGAATGCATGTAACAAGAAGA